TCAAGAAACAAAATCTTCATAGAGATTTTTGACGTACTCGCTAGCGAGCACACCTAACGTAAACTCATGGTAGGTACACTGGTCACCAAGAAAACTGCGTTCTTTTCTCGACGACCAATATTGATGTTCTTTTGTTTTTTCTCGGTCGACTCTTGAATGTTCCACGTAGTTTTCAACCTGAATTCTGTAAATAAATAAATCATAAATTCAAGTTTTTAACTCCGTAGATCGAGTATTAAATATCTACAAAACACACAACATTAAAGCCCATCGAGCCACTACGCTGGATTATAAAATTAAATATTCCACAGATAAATGAAAGGAAAGAATCAGAAACAAGCCCTGTCATAGGAAGTTTTACATTATAATGACGAATCATGATTGCCATAACAGTGTTGTTTTTCGATCTCCAGCCGACCTTGGCGCCCAACGTGGTGCAACTGTAAGAAGCTACTAATATTCTGATTGCTGCGAATATACATTGTATAAACAGCGCTCATTGATGCGGATACTCCATGACTCAAGATGTAAACACATTAAGACGATGGATGTTGACGACTGCGTTTATTTGCGATGCAGGCAGCTTTGTCTCACTAAGATGCTACTTACTCGTAGCGTGGTGTTTATGTGGAAATTAAAAATGGTAACTTTAAATTAGAAGTTAGGAATTGTTTACAGTGCGTACTCATGTTGTTAGAAACAGCACCTAGACCCAAACTGAGTTAAAATCACTTAATTAAATGTACGTAAACTAAATTAAACTTGCGACTAGATGACTGATAAGCACTTACCTCTAAATAGTTAGGAGTGTAACTGGTTATATTATAGGAAAACATATCATAATAACTCAGATTATAAATGCTCATACTGTAGGTGTCAAACCACAACCACAACCACAAACAATTGCCGCACGTGGACTTTAAAATTTGTTGCTGTTAACTATAAACTTGCAAGAAAAAAATGGAAAATCATCATCACTATAAGAAGTTAGTGTGTTTTCATATAATTTTACCTACTCGTACTTAAGTAAGTATTCACCGCTTAGCTTTTCTAAATTACTAACGTCGTAGATTCGTCAAGGAATCCAAGTGAGGTATTCTACCAAATGCTTGTGGTTTGATGGATGATAATTTTGAACTAGTAAATTATGATCGAGGCAACATTCATGGCCAAGACAAGTCTATCATCATAATTACGTGTTCGTCCGTTCGTTCGTTTCAGCCTAAAGATGTCCACTGCTGGACAAAGGCCTAACAGAAAATAATCAAGCCTTTTCTATCTTGACTTCTGAAAGGTGATTTTCGTCCAACAGTGGACTATTCAAAAGCTCTCTACGTATTTTAGTAAAACTATTAATACGTATTAGGTATTCTCATATTACATTTTTTAATTACCCCAAGTTTAAAAAATAAGTACCTAGTTGCCCTTAAAAGGCAAATGATGGTCTTATAAACTTTTCGCTCTAACTTCGAAGGGTTTCCATTGACATAAATAAATAAATAATGTAGATGGCACTACTATCTTTTTTAAAATAGACAATAGACAATCGCTGACGTGACCGTCAATCACTAATTATAAATAAGTACCATCATTAACTCGATCAAATTCAAAAGCATCGCAATCAGAGGCGGCAATTAAGTGATGACGTCATGATTCAATCAGCTCTTAATTAACTGGATAGTATCGGCTGCAATACTGTGAGAGCCTTGGAATTAATGGTAGATGAACTATCAAATCTTGATGTGAATACCCAATTTCTCATTTAAATGATATAATAATTTGACACCTAGGTACCTACTGCAATTGCAGTTTGGATCAGTCATCGTTTCAGCCGAATGACGTCCACTGCTGAACAAAAGCCTTAAGGAAATTCACAGTGACCAGTCAGGCACTTCTTGTTACCTTCACCAGATCGTCGGTCGACCTAGTGGGAGGCCTGCCTACACTACGTCTTCCGACTCATGGTCGCCACTCGAAAACTTTTCTGCCCCATCAGTTTGTTTCATCATTTAAGACATTTGAATTTCAATTACTCTTCTTACTACATCCTTCTGCTCGTACTAAATGCATTCACGATATTAACCAGTAATCCAACTGAACCTTAATTAAAGTGCATCGAATGGCAGTTTTATTTGTATCTGCAAACTATAGGTTTTAACCCAGAGTATGTCGCAAGTCTCTGATTAGTTAAGTGCTAGAACCGATCTTGAATAATTCAAGCGGGTCTTTGAAAAGGCACTGGTGACCAAATACAAATGCGCGGTTAAGCTTCACAAATCTATAGTTTTAAAGTGTGTTTAGTTGTAAGTCCAAAATTAAGGAATCTATGAAATACCATTAGTTAATTGCTACTGACCGCCGGCTTTTCTGTACTTGAATTTGTCATGATAGAATTTATAGTATTACATATAAACCTTTCCCACCAAAATATGAAAGCTATACTAAACTTTTTATTTAGACTTGAGAAACGGTTTTTTAAAAAACTCTATTTTTTGCGACAAAAGTTTTTCCCAGCTCCAACTATTTATCTAATAAAAGACTACATAATTATCACCTCCAAGGTAAAAAAAAACATCTAAAGTTACTGTCACATTAAAATGTTTTCAGTAATATTACATCTTCAAATCATTCACAGAAAAGAAAGGTAAGTACAGGGTCCTTCTAAACTAGCTACATTCCTTTTAATGGGGGCATCTATACGGTACACTGAACAAGTTCACCAAATTTGAGTATGTGTTTTATAATGATTTTACAANGGTATACACCTATTGTCAACCCAACTCCGGACCCCACTGAAGGGCGCCCAAACATCGTTCGGCGTATTCATACATTCGCCGTTCTCCACTCACTTAAGTTTAAAAATCAGTATAACAGACAAACTAAATTTCAGGCGGGCGAAACCGTGATCAAAGGCTAGTATTAATAAGTCCCTCTAAATGATTCTGATAGGGTATCTGTTACGAGAGCCGTCGCGGTCGGCCGCCTGACATCCAGCCAGGCCCCGGCGAGGCGTGGACTGCTAATTGGCATGGCGTTATAATTTGGAAGGAAACGGTAGATCCACTAGTCAATCATAAGGAGTAACTCGATTTGGCATGGACCAATGGCATTGAACAACTAGTTGTGCCACCGGTATATGCTCCGATTTGCTTGTAACAAACAACATTCTTCAATTGTGTAGACTAGGTTCTAGGCAACAATTGAGGCCACTGATGTCTGACTTATATGCGAACCGCAATAGGGCTTCTTCTTTTCGTGTCGACAACAAACCTACACAGTGTCAGCTCAAAACTCCGCCACGAGGGTGGCGTGGCGTTGTCAGCAGCACTCATCAAATCCTCCTGAGTGCAGTTGCTTGGGCACTCAGGGCACGACATCAATGGGCTTAATAGGATCGATAGTAACCTAATCGGTTAAATTTAACCGAACCAAAAGGCCTAACCTATTGAAATTGCTCTCTATTTATTTTTGGACAGTCAAGATGCTTCAAGCCTGCGTTGACATAGCCAAAATGCGAATTTGAATTTAAAGTAATTTAAAACGATGTGAATCAAAGTAGAAGTAAAATAGTCATGTACTTCCCAGTGGTACATTTTTAAGACACAGCAAGAACAGCAAAAATATTCAGAGATTCTGTGTGTTACTGCATTGTGCCCGGTCGAAATTACAGCTTTAATTGCTCCAAAATTGTTTCTAACGAATATAATTAGGGGTTTGGTCTTACTCATTTTAATTAGAACGTGCCGAAAAAGTTAAGGGTCGGATACCTGTTATTATTCCAAAAGAATGCTGGAAGACAACATTATTATAACATTTCCCGTTCTTTTGTCCGAGTGAAAACGACTTAAAAATAAAGAAAATAAAAAAGATAACAAGAATAGAACACTCAAAAGGATTTTGTTAAATTATTTCAAGCAAAAGTGACTGAAAATGAAAAGCAAATTGGGATGTTTGTGTAAGAGTAGGACGACCTTTCAGTTGAAATAGCAAAGTCATCAAGTAAACCTTTATTAATTTTTGTTTTGTGATTTTAACAACACGAACACTTGAACAATTTTGAAGTTAGTTATAAAAATTCATAAAATTCATTCATAAAATTCATTTATTTTTGCAAATAGGCTTTAAAAAAGCGCTTTTACACGTCCCAATAATAACCCTACCACTGCTTCGGGACAATAAATGGGCCAGTGCTGAGAAGAAGCAGCGCAAGAAACTCAGTCACTATTGGCAGCCTCCTTTTCAAGGTTTTACAGTCTTTAAAATATACAAATTATAGTCATAAGTATTAATGCGAGCTAGGTAGTTAAACATTCCAAACATTTTTATCCTTTATATAATCATCAACTTTATAGTAGCCCTTGTTCATTAAGGTGCTTTTGATATGTGCTTTAAATTTATGAATGGGCAATTCTACAACAGTTTGTGGTAATTTATTGAAAAGTTTAATACATTTCCCCATAAATGAATTACCAATCTTGTGCAGTCTGAAATTTGGAACGGCAAGTTTATTTTTGTTTCTTGTATTGAACTTGTGTAAATCACTCTTTCTAGTAAATTGCTCTATATTTTTGCGAACATATAAAAGGTTTTCATAAATGAACTGTGAAGCTACTGTCAGTATATTAATCTCCTTAAAGAATTCTCTCAAGGGAAATCGGGGTCCAAGGTTATAAATGGCCCGCACTGCTCTCTTCTGCAGAACGAACACAGTTTCAATGTCCGCAGCTGAGCCCCACAACAATATGCCGTATGACATTATACTATGAAAATAGCTAAAATGCCTTGCCGTATATTGCCTTGCATATGAAGAGGTATGTGCCATGTTACCAACAATGTGGATCTTTCTCTTACGCTCCTAATATGTGTCTTTTTACATATCTTACTTCTTCCCACTACTGCAACTCCTGTGTACAGAATCTACAGCTTGGCCTCCAATAAAAACAAAATCAGTGAAGCTGAGTCCTCAGGGATAGCTGTCTCGGAACCCACAGCCAATTTAATCAGAAGAATATAGGAGGAAATATTATATCGACACCATCAGTGGGCACGACCCTGGACCGCGCGAGGTCCGCCTTGTTCCCCACCAGGATAACAGCCCTCCTGGAGGTGTGACCTGCCGCCCATAGCGCCTGCAGTCTTCTCTTGGCTTCTGGAAGCTGTGTGGAGGACTTACCATCAGTAGGCACGATCCTGGACCGCGCGAGGTCCGCCTTGTTGCCCACCAGGATGACGGCACTCCACGAGTGTGGCCCACTCTGCAGTCTCCTCTCGGCCTCTGGAAGTTGCTGTCTATTGTGGACTCACCATAAGTGGGCACGACCCTAGCCACCAAGATAACGGCCCTCCAAGGGGTGTGGCCCCCTGCATCCTCCTCTCGGCCTCTGGAAGCTGTGTGGAGGACTTACCATCAGTGGGCACGACCCTAGACCGCGCGAGGTCCGCCTTGTTCCCCACCAGGATGACGGCTCTCCTGGAGGTGTGGCCTGCTGCCCACAGCGCCTGCAGTCTTTTCTCCGCTTCTGCGAAACTGCGGACTTCTTATGAGTGACTTACCATCAGTGGGCACGACCCTGGACCGCGCGAGGTCCGCTTTGTTCCCCACCAGGATGACGGCTCTCCTGGAGGTATGACCTGCCGCCCATAGCGCCTGCAGTCTTCTCTCCGCTTCAGCAAAGCTGCTGCGGTCTGCTGTCGAGTATACCACGCAGTAGCCGTGCGCGCAGCCGTCCAACTGGAGGGAGAATCAATTTATCATATCAAGAGAGACACAAATAAGGCAATGATAAAAATATCTGCTAGACTAGACTAGACAGGGCTGCGTTGCGTATGACTATTAATTTAAATGAAATGAAAGATCTTTAAGATTATTTTCTTTCGTTCTACTGTATGGACAAAACAATTCTCAATAGTGGTTGAAGGTAGTTACTTTTTAACATCATGTACAAATTGTTAACAAGGCATATAGTAAGTAATGATAACCGCAAAGCATAATGCAACATAGTAATTCATTCATGTACGTACCTACTCGTATTGCAATGTGACATCAAATCATAGCATCGTGCAATAACAATTTTTTGCTTTTTACATGGCACTGTGGGTTAGTATACAACTTGACATGATATTCAACTTGTGGATAAAACCATTCATTCCAATGTACAAATAGATCATGCACTTTGATGAGTCACTTATCCTGATTGATTCAGATTTAAGCTCATGAATGGATGTAATTGGTAGAGATACAAAAATATTATAAGATCTTTTACTCTTACTTTGCCACAACCTATTATTTTATTAAAAAAACTAGGTTTTAAGTTTCAAATGACATTTTTGTAAGGCATAGATTGTTAAGTGTCCTTTCAATGAAATTATTCCACCGCGATCTTATGCACAACCAGCACCATCTCTTAGCAGCGTTTGGAACTTCTTGCTTATTTCTAATCTGAATATTCTTGTACCTAACCAAAGGAGATGGAAATGAGGTCATGCTTAGAAGACTCACGACTACATGGTCAGGTGGCGCGTCCAGGAAGGTGATCTCCGACTCTTCGCCAGCCAGCAGGACGCAAACTGACCGCTCACCCGACTCGTCGTCTGGAAGGAAAAATATGTTTAGTTGAAGTTCTCTGTGAAGCCCTTTTCAGGGCACGTATTCCTAACCATAAAGCACAATTTAATCTATAATGCCAATTAAAATGGTACTTATAACTTTTAATGATATCAGTCCCATATTTTAAGATAATTTTCTCGAAATTGTATTTATTTACCAGTATTTATAAAGCTTATAAACTGGTTGTTATGTGCAGTGCAAGCTTTTCTCCAAAACTGATGGAGTATTTTATTTGATAAAAACAACTTCTAGAACATATAATTAATATAATTACATATTTGTTCATTGCGAATTCTGCCAATAGCATAAGTACAAAACAAAATTAAACTTTGGGAACTTCGTGATAACTAAAAGTAACTAACATAACTTTAAGCAAAAAGTTCACAATGTTGTAAAATTTTGGATAATGGTTAAATACTTTATCAATCTTACCAAAATGGTAAACCACCCAGCCATTAATAAAGTAATATTTAGTTTACTCAAGATAAAATAATTTCCGATATTTCGGCACTGTTGCAAGCGCCATAGTCACGGAGTAACTGAGGAAGAAACACCGGAGAATTGAACAAAGTGTAGTTCCGCGGTCGGATACTGTAAGTGTTGTGTGTCGAGGACAGTTGCGAGAAAATAGTGAGTTGGTGAACAGTGGTACGGGAGGCAATCGTAATAAAAGACTGAAAGAGGGTAAACCGATATGTCTGCCCGTAACATCTCACCCGCATGTTTCCTCAGTTACTCCGTGACCATGGTGCTTGCAACAGTGCCGAAATATCGGAAACTCAAATTAAGGTACATGGTATAGTCTGGTCGCCGAGCACGTAGAATTTTGTCCAATGACCCTAAGCGACCCATCCTTATCGCTCGCGCGTAATTATATTGCTGTCGCGACTGTGCGACGGGCGCCCGTAGTGAGTGTTACAGCGCGAGCGCGACAGTAATATAATTACGCGCGAGCGATAAGGATGTGTCGCTTGGGGTCATTGGACAAAATTCTAAGTGCTCGGAGACCGGGCTTTAGCAATCCCGTCAGTAATAATAATAATGTTGAAACTCACCTATACTAGTGTCGTAGGCGTGGAGGTACTCCGAGGTCATGAACTGCCCCACCAGGCTGGACTTGCCCACTCCTGGCGCGCCTAACACCAGGACCCTGTACGCACTGAGGCCTGCTGACGAGTCCCTGGAAGGAATACATACGTTTAGGTGACATTTTAGAACCTGAAAAGGCAATGGCGATCAGTAGAAATCAGAAGGATCGCTATCGCCATCGCGCACGCAGGTTATACGCGTTGATTTGTCCGAATCTTAAGCGGCTTCATGATAAACTGTCGCAGATTCACCTCACGAATGGTGGAATAAATGGTTTGAAAATAAATAAGTCACTGTCTTGGTAAAAGTTCAGAATGACCGATGCCCTTAAAAAAACGGGAGATCGTTGGAGCAGTATGTTTTGGAAATGCTTATTATTTTGTTTTGTCATTTTCGATCAATAGCTTACTGGATGAAAGGTAGGTAGATACTTTAAATATTTTACATTATTATTGTGTTCCTCACGATTGTCTTATGAAAACCCATCTGTCTATAATCTATATCTAGGTCAGGTGAGTATTCCATATAATAATAAGCATTAATTACCTCCTTATTATTAGGCTGTCCATAAAGGGGTCGTGTTAACCTTTAGTGTAACCTTTGCGTTATGTTTGAAGACACCGTCAAAGGCCGGCCATTTGCTAAAGTAGGCTACCTATAAATCTTCCCAGAAGTAGGCCAGGTGGAAATCTTAAGAATATAGCGTGGAGGTGTGTTCCAGGGTCGTGAGGTGCATGTAGGTACACAGTTAAGGTATTAAGCGATGTTTTGATTATAAACGTTGAGATTTAAGATTTAAGATTGAGATTTAACCTTGGATTTACACCCTGTACTTTTTCATGGTTTAGGAAGCGAATTTTCGGAAATCTTTAGATGCAGTTTTCTTTCTTTTCAAAAATTTCTTTGTGTAATTTTTTTTTTATGTGACAGTAGGCAAACGAGCAGATGGATCACCTGTGTGCCTACCATGAGTTTACGTTAGGTGTGCTCGCTAGCGACTGCGTAAAAAAATGACATTTAAATGTATGACATATTGTGCAGCGCCCCTAGCGGCTACTTTCAAGAAATAAAATCTTCATAGAATTTTTTGACGTATTCGCTAGCGAGCTCACATAACGTAAACTCATGGTAGGCACACTGATGATAGGTAAGTGATTACCGTCGCCCATAGACACCCATTTCTATCAACACACACTCACACGCCCACAGACACGTTTCTATCAACAGTATTAAGAGTACTTTCCCTTCAGGTGGCATTACAAAATTCCACCCTGTATGTGTCAATGTTCTGCCTTTTGTGACTTCAAATGGTAATGAGTATTTTCTTCCAATTACCTAGGCAGGGAACAAGGCTCATCCTTTGTCTCATCTAGAAGACGCCAAAGAACACGGCATGCTTCCACTCACCTAATGACAGTTAAACTTTCCCCGGGACAAACTTGACCTTCATTGGTTGGGTTTTTGTGGCGGTCAAGCTGTAGATCCTGGCTACACAGGAGTTGCAGCGGTGGGAACGAGAGATGGGAATAGTCCCGTTCCACTCACCTAGAGGACGCCAAGGAACATGGTGCGGAGGCTCTGGTGGCCGCTTCTGTGCTAGAGGCGTTCGACGCGACAGCGATAGCGACGGAACCTAGAAGACGTCAAAGAAGATGGTCCGACTTTTGACCCACCTAGAAAACGCTAAGGAAGACGGCTCTTTCTCTCGACTCATTTAGAAGACACCAAGAGCAAGTTTCTTTTATCCACTTACTTAGAAGATTGCAGAGAACAAGACTCACTTTGAAGTAGCCAAGGCGTCTTTTGGGTGAGTCAAAGAAAGAGCCTTTCTTTCTTTAAATCACCCAAAAGACGGCAAAGAACAAAGTTTGCTTCCACTCACCTAGAGGACGCCAAAGAACATGGTGCGGAGGCTCTGGTGGCCGCTTCCGTGCTGGAAGCGCTCGACGCCACCGACGTGTTGGAGCGGGAGCGACGCGAGCGCAGCGAGTCGCCTCGGTTCACCACGCCTTTGCCTGCGGGGAAAAAATATTTTATTAGTAAACTAGACTGATATTCAAGCAGATCTTATAATACATCAGACTTACAAAGTAACACCAATCATAACCACAAAAATTGACACAGTGTCGCATCTTCATTTCAGCCTTTGGCAGTCTTACATCAGTCTACTCCAAGGTCTCGTCCAGCCACTGCCAGATACTTTCCTAGGGTTTTCGGTTTTTTCGAGAGGTTGTCACCATTTGAGAACTTTGTAGTCATCAATTCCATCTGTGATAAATATTATGGCTGACCCACTGCCACTTTGACTTGCAAAATGTTTTGTGAGTTAGAATTTAGGTATACCTACTAAACAAGATAAGGGGTTCTCACCAGTAATACTGAAGTGCCTCAGCCTGTAGTACTCCTCTTCAACCCCAGTGTTGGGCATGGAAGCGACCCTCGCCCTCTGCTGCGGCAGGCCCAGGAGTTGCCTTTCTCCCGTACGGGACCTGCCCGCCTTGACGGACTGCGATCGCGAGTGGTGCGGGCTGCCATACCTGGGGACAATGGAATTGATGTAGAATTTATATAGCTCGGTACTTAGATATCCTACTATTCATTAATTAATTTTAATAACATTATAAATGCGAAAATTTGGATGCCTGGATGTCAGGCAGGATGTCAATTTGTTTGTTACTCTTTCACGCAAAAACTACTAGACGGATTTTGATGAAACTTTACAGTATTATTGTTAACATATAGGCTATCATTTACGACGATCTGTGACAAACTAAATTTCACGCGGGTGAAGCCGCGGGCAAAAACTAGTAGCACATAAAAATAAATGATTTTCACCAGTTTAAGAGAAAAGCTGCTTCATTTGCCTTTGTGAAATTAAAGAGGGCCGTGCCTCTGCATTGGATACTAAATAATTTCTTGATTACCTAAAGAGAAAAGAGTGTGAACTTATTGCGAAATAAAGTTTTCTCTATTATTTTAATTCTGCGTATGAAAAAGCTCAAATATTTAAATTACTGATAATGTAGAGAAATGTTAAAAACATTAAAGATGACTTGAATTTTATGTAGATAATCGTTGCCTGTAAGAATATGCTGAAAATCTAATGCAATGAAGGTGAAAAACGCATGAAGATCATCAGGATACGATTAAGGTTTACTTAAGTCTAATTGAAGACCCTGAAAGAACTGAAGATGCTTAAACCCACGTTATGTTGTACCGGATTAACTACGAACACTAAACAGTAAATAAAAACGTAACAAAATAACCCCGACCTCGTTCAAAGAGCTGACATTTAAAAGGGTTACATAAAAAGCGCTGAAAATGTACATTTGTTATGGCTCTAGTTTAAAAATTAAGCACTTTAAAGTGCTTCGCACTTTGTGCTTTTAATTGAGCAAAAATAAAATAAAAACTCCGTAAAAAGAGTTCACGTGCCACAAAAGAAGTCATAAAAGAAACCCTGTTGAAAAAAGGGATATTTTAAAATGTCAAACATAACTTTTCTTCAGTACTGTTAACAGGTGAAAGAATTGCGTAAAAATATTATTACATTCTGCATTAAACCTACTCGTATATTATTATGCTAATAAGCTTTTTTAAGCACTTGCGTGTTTTCATTACCTCTTTTTGTTTTAATTACGTAATGAAACCGAGTAACCTAGTTTTTTTTACTTTATTGCTTTAAAAGAGGTATACAGAAATTATTTAAAAAAAAACATGTTGCACACAGGCGACGAGACTGCAACGCGACTTGAGCGCAACGTCGATGTGTTTACTAATTAATAAGAAGTTAATATTTCGTCACTGAAGCTCTTTTGATGCCATTAAGATGAAGAAAGATGATTATGAAAGCCCGCGTGCTTTTTTCCGTCCAATCTCCTGTAAAATGCACATTTTTGACCTAATCACTGTTAGAACTTCACGATTACCTCTTTTTATCACTCTCCTACACACTTATAAAATAGACACTTCAATTGTTTTTGTGAAAAAGATTAGATCGTCATTTTTACAGCTGAAACATTGCCAAAATAATGTCATCATGTGTTACCCTTTAAAACAGCTCACTTCGCAAGTTCGCGGGCGTCCAAATTATGCAAACAAGGTGTTTGCCCAAACACTGACGCGGACGTAACGCGCCGATTATTTGGCCCTTAGTGTTGTGCCGCTATCGGTAGAATAATATCGATATATTTATAGTGTAAGCTAACAACTGGACATGATTTTTACTTTGATCAAATCAATCAAATCAAAATTGATGATTGATACATGAACCTGTTTCTCGTAATTTTCGCTTGCCGGGCGACAGCTCTGACAACAAAGATATTATATTGGTCGTTTTGGAATGATTTTTACGATGTGAATAAAAGTTGCTCTTAACATTTACGTCATATTTTATGAGTTGCGACAAGAGTCTCACAACTCTCACAGGGAAAACACAAATAATATTAAGATAAATGACCAATTTTCTCCATCTTAGTGTCATCTCTGCCAAATGTCCATGATATTACTCAAATAATTATAAAAGTAATCAACAAAACTTGATGGCAAACGATCATCGTCGCCAATTAACATTAAAATCGTACCCCAATTATAAATAAAACGAGTTTCTGAAAACATGTCTCCTCAAGCGCCAACTGCAATTAAAATAAATTGATCAGACGTTACACAGACTTCTATATTGGGTTAGCTTCGAAAGGGTTGCGCTGAAGTCGCATTTTTTTAAGTAAACATTTTTTGAAAGCATTTTCTGTTTCTTTTTTGGAACTACCTAAGAAAGAAAGCTTTGACTTTGAAAGTAACTTGTTCGTCAAATTTTTAAGTTTAAACTGATGATTTTTGGTGTAGAGTTAGATTTGGACTAAGTTTAGTTTTCACTACTTATCGTTAAAACTCATGATCTAAAAAAAGGTGCTTATAAAATTTATTACGGTTGTGTCGATAACGTCATTTTCCCAACAATATCCATGGGTTTAAAGCCAGTTTTATGGGGGTGTGAAACGTGGTGCCTCCATAAATTCCACAAAGTAACTGGGGACCACTTGAATAACTTCCTTTTTTCTTCTAGGGCATAAAATAAATCTGGATTTTACCTGCTTCAGCACTTTATGTAGGTTGAAATGTATGTAGTTTGACGTTTGACATGAAATGGTCATCATTAAATTTAAAGGTATAGTTAAAGATCACATGCTTAAAAAAGCCTATTATACAACTCGAGATTTTCTTAATGATAAGTCATCCTGGGAGTAGGATTATGGTCCTCTCATGCTCGCACTAAAAAGAATTAAAATCGTGCTATGAAAAGTAATGTATAAACTAATCTAATAAAATTTTCTAAAATGTTATAGTGTCATGCTTCTCAATCTGGACTGTTACTTAGCTTTATTATTGTTTTTTTTTCTCTAAGAGATAACTTGGTATTGTCATTCTCACTAAAATGTCTCTGGGGTGGTGGCGTAGTGAGGCGGGTCGTTACATTCCCTCTAATATGGTCGAGTGAAGCGATGGCTGGTTCACTCGTCATGTCTGTGAACAGGCGCTGCTTTCGGGGACTAGTCAATCCAAGTTATTCCAATTTATGTATGCGAGTCATTTCTACTAGTATTTAAGTATGTAATCTGTAAGTCTAGATATTAGCACGTCACTACCTTGTTTAATATACCACGCAATTTTGTATACCCATTATACACTATACAAGAATGCATGGTAAATTCAGTGAACTGCTCCTGAATCGAATGTACCTACTACTGCTATTTCTATTTATTTATATTAACCGGCAGACAGTGGTGACTGAGTTTGTTGCGGCGCTTCTTCTCAGCACTTGCCAAATGTTGGTCTCGAAGCGCTGGTAGGGTAAAAAGATTATGAGACATGTAGAGGCTCCTTAAGAGCAAAATGACGATTTGTAAGAACTATTTATTAGTCTAAACAAATAAAGAAATTTTGACTTTGACTTTGACTTTGACATTTCAGTATTCAAATAGCAAGTTTCAATAAGGTGAAAAACGAGAGAAATATTCAAGAACGAGGCCTATAGAGAGCTTTTTTGCCGAGTGTTTTTGTTTATTTTGATAGGTATATACAAAATTCGAAATATCGCAAAAATAGCGAGTTCCAAGCAAAGAAGCTCTCATGTTTGTCAATAATAGACGTTTCTATCACTACTTTTTTCAGCACCAGCCAAAGCTATGAAAATGAAAAATCTTTAATCAATTTAGACCATGAACGTCAAAATTATTTGGGCTCTAAGTACTTATCTGTCTGTCTGTTTGTTTGTTTTGTTTCTCTGTCTGTTTGTTTATTTATTTATTTTGGAAAACCAGGGTTTAACAATATTCTAGTTTAGTTTGTAAATTGCATGTAAGCGCGACTAATAAACTTCACTAATTAGTTCCTTGCAGTTCGGAACTTGTCACCAACTCCCGACAGCTGTTCGCGACTTGTTTCTGAAACCTTGACTCAATTTGCTTAGTTATGGACTTGTTCCGTCTATAATGGGACTATAAATAAACGTGTAATTAATAAAATTCATCATCATCATCACCATTTTAGTGTTCACTGCAGGTGCACGACATTTTAGTAAACGACAGTGGTAAATAGAAAATTTGGCTTTACTTTCCGTGTTGGCCAGACGGGTTGTGGAATTCAAATTCAAATATTTTATTCAGTACATAGGCCCTTTCCAGGGCACTAATACATGTCACAAATATAGCTTGCCCTACCACCACTTCGGGACAACGTATGGGCTGGTGCTGAGAAGAAGTGGCGGAAGAAACTCAGTCACCTTTGTCCTGATGTTTGCATATTACACGTACTTGTCTCTTAATAGCATTATCTAACTAGTCCTACTTTGTTGTATGCGCATTTAATTTCATTAAACAGCAATAATATTGTATTTTATTAAAAGTTTTTTATAAATACAAAATTAACTGAAATTGGTTGCGTTTTAAAACGGAATAAACAGACAGAAAGAGTTATTTTCGCATTTATAATGTTTAGTATAGATTACTCGCAATTTTTTGTACGAGCTTACAAAAGCTTAGCATAATGTGCTGTGATCCATCCCAATAAAGGAGGTCGGGACATTTGACAGGGTTTGTTGCATTGTGGGGGAACGATCAGAAGGGCTGCTTTACAGTTCCATCGGGCGAATTTTGCGATTACTTTTGTACAGTGGCGTAACTATACCATCGGATACTCGTAGAAAATGCTATGCATGGGGCCCTTGGCGTATATAGGGTTATTTTTCAGGGGACTCCGGGACCATCGCCACGAAGCATTGCTTTTGTTTATTGACTATCAGTTCACGATGTCTCGAAGAGGTCAATGACTTTGTGGAGGTTGGAACTGTCCAGAAAAGTATAATTTCATTTAGCATAGGTAGAGGTGGATATTTTTTTGGCAATTTCGGACTTTGTATATGATTTGAGGCTTGACACTTAAAAATTGGTTGGTTTAAATGCATTGGCGTTATTGAATTTTTAAGACCTTTTGATTTGAAAAATATCTTTTGGCCCCACACGATCGATAAAAACCTCCA